AGTTCTTTCTGATGGTTTTGCTACAAAAATAAAGAATAAATTTGAATAAGGACCAATAATTATTGGCCCGATGAATTCTTATTAGGTACTTGATATGAGGAGCTGATTATATTCCTGAAGTAATCAGTGATCTTAATTAATGGATCTCTTGAGTCCCGACATTTTCTCTACGTTGTGAATGAAAGGAAAGTTTTGCATCGTGAGCAAGTGCATTCGAAAGTTCCAGGTTGGTCACTAGTTTGAAATGAACTTTTGTCTAAAGAGTTGCCTCGGGACTCAAGAGATCGATCCATAAAGATCACTGATCACTTCACGTATATCTCTGCTAGTGTCACCAATTGAATAACTCGCTCTTGCTGCAAAAAGTTATACATTGGTGAAACAGGAAGACGACTAGGTGACCGATTCCGAGGACACCTTCACGACGTTGAAAGAAGTGAAAAGGACGCATCTATACCAGTCGCTAGACACTTGTATCTCGCTAGCCATTCTGAGGAGCATATGGCTGTTTGCGGTCTGTCCCTACATTTAGGCAGTTCGGAAAACCGCAAAACTCGAGAACATGGTACCAACGTGCGATTTTCGTTCAACTAATTTCTTCTTTCTTTCTCGTCACCATATTCCCACCAATAACGTAGCTCCATTTTCTGCATATAAGCACACACAACCCACAATTCCTCCCATCTCTCTGACGAAGGGCTAACGCTCGAAACGTCAGCTTTTAAACTCTTTACGGTGGCCAATTTACGTTATCAACTCAGTTGATAATACTTTATTACCCTGTCATACTCTCTCACCGACGCAGCACCACAGTTTCCTTAGAAACTTACCCCCTCTATTCATATGCCTGACATACTTCCCTCTGAGCACGAGAATATGGTCATAAAAATTGTGGCATGCGTAAGTCTCAAAGGAAGTTATCTTCTTGTCTGGCGCAAAAATTTAATAATTCTAACATCACCTAACGTCAGTCTCTTACTATAATTGGATTAACTCCAAACCGGATGATCTCGATAATAACAAGTATATTCATTGCAAAGTATTTTTCCCTACAGTCCATGCGCCAGAGTTAATAGGAGTTCCTCGGAACCAAAGTGCTGATATAGGGGCCAATGTAACTTTCAACTGCACTGCCACAGGTCTTACTACGCCAAGCATCTCATGGATCAAAAACAATGATTCGTTTGCCTTACAATCCAACCCAAGGTTGACATTCATTAACGATCCACTGGACGACAAAAGTACGCAAAGCCACTTGTTTATTACAAGAGTAAAGGAAGAAGATTTTGGCAAATATCAGTGTGAGGCAAAAAACAGCGGTGATAAGAATTTGTCTTTGCCGGCTTTTTTAACCCCGAAAGTTTCAGGTTAGACATTCATATGCATTAGTGTTTGTTTCCCTTATCATTTCAAAGTTGAAACTCCACGAAGTCTTCCACTTGCATGCTAACTCAGTCACCCAATTGAAATTTTCCCAACACCAAGTAGGCGACATAAGCTCGGTTTTTGGATGACTGCTTCTTGGTGTACATTTCCGTAGAATATCAAAAAATTCTCCATTTCATTAGAGTATGATGTCTCTTAATACAAAATTTTAAATTTATCATTTCAGTTTCACCCGGTCCCTGTACCTCCTCGTCTTCCTATCATCAAGACTCCCCTTAAAGTTTAATTCTCTTCAAACCGGGTCTTTCGAATGGCAAAAAAGCCTTGGGCCCCGACATCCTAAAGAAAGATCACAAATGAGACAAATCCAAGAGAAAAAATAGGATCTCAACGACGGTTCCTGCAATTAATTGACACTTGAATCAAATCTCGATGGCCTAAATTTTAAATTCCTTTTTCATCCTCCACAATTCTTTCCTATTCTTCTTCTTCCCCGTATTTCTCCTTTTTTTTTTTTTCCCTTTTTTCAATTTATACATCTGACTTATTACACTTATTAGGATCATCATCATCACTATTATTATTATCGTTGTCGTCGTCATCATTATAATTGTTGTTTGTATCATTATTACAAATGATTTTCTTCCTCAGCTTGAGATTTAAGACTGCAGACTCAAAATAAATTGTTATTTTTTCATTTATTATTCGTAGCTACAACTCATACTTTCGTATTCGTCAAGGAAGGAGCGCCAGAAAATTCAGCATCTCAGATAACTATAGTCGCTGTATCATGCACTTTGGTAGCTGCAGTTATTTGCGTGGTCACTGGGTTTGTGTGGAATCGGCGTAAAAATTGTGATAAGGAGGTAAATGATACGTTACATGACATCCGCACACAGGGTAATGATCTCCTCTGACCGTCATGGAAGGGAAAAGAATTCGTAAAAATAAGAACAATGACAACTTCTCTAGACTCTGCATCTCGCCTTACAATAACAAAGATCGACACGCCAAAAACTTGCCCCGTCTGAAAACTGGTCAATCCCAGCATTCCTTCCGACGCCAGGATAAGCAAACTTGCGTATGATAAATTTCGTCAGCTCTGCTTCACTTAGCAAAAGTCTGCCCCTATGATGTGCCAAGGCTAAAGAAAACGCCCATTTCTTTCCTTAATTCATCGCTTCCAAGTTCTCCCGCCCTCCACTTGGTGAATATCTCATACAGAAGCATGCAGTGGCTTGCGCGACCCATTTTCACTGGGTTTATGGAGCAGTTCAATCTGAAAAAGAGCTATATTCCTTAATTACATATCTTAATTTTACCAATTTTGAATGTCATCGTAATAAAAAATGTTGCAGCGATTTCAGCCAGCTTTGTTTCCTTCCGTATTAAACAAACGCTATTTAATACGCGTAAGACTAGTAAATCAAAGTTCGAGATATTTCATTTCTATGAAGAATTTTGAAAGGATCTCAAACAAATGATTTTGATGATAAAGGCTAAACACGCTTTTTTTTTAGATATCACAATTAACTTTTCTCTTCGATTAAATGACAGGCACGAAAACGTACAACAAAAGTATGCTTGGAAAAGGCCAAACATTTGATAAACACGATACATGACCTTGAAAACAATTGTTCTCCCAATACCCAAGCCATTGAGACCCCCGAGGAAAGGCTCCTGTTACTGGGGTACGGATTAGGGGACAGAAGTCCTCCAGACGGAAGCGAGCAGGATGATTCTACACAGGATGTAACAGAAAATGGTCGAGAGAGATTAGAATCGGGTGGGAAGATTGCTGGTGGTGACATTTTCACTGCTGATAAAGGTGTTGACCTGAGTGTTGACGAACAGCGCGATTGGAGAGAAATATCTCAAGAGACCGAAGAAAGATGCGTAAACTTGGAAAATCTTGAAGTCTGCGATGAAATACTCGGAGAGGGCGAATTTGGGATCGTCTACAAAGGGCGCTACGGTGGAAAAGACGGAAACATGATAGATGTAGCTGTTAAGAAGCTAAAAGGTGGGTACACGAGATCGAAATGTCCACTTGTTAATTCCTAAGAACAGTGGTATGCTTTTGAACTAATATTTCTTTGGAAGCTATGCGCCATCTTACTATTTTCATCATTTTTCTTTTGATGGGAAACACTCATAAAGTCTGCTATTGTCTCCTTTGAACGCTTTCTGCAGCCTTAATCAAGCCGCTTTTCCCATACATTATTTTGTTACCATAGCCAGATACGGCGAGCGAACTTCATAAACTGAAGAAAGTTAAGAAGTCCTTTTGTTTTCTTCTCTATGTCATTTTGAGACCCTAGTGCCATTGCCAAAGAAACCCTGCTTAATGAAATAAGGACCTTAAAGAAAACTGGGAAACATCCTAATATTGTCACTTTGATTGGCACACGGATAGAGAGAGGTAAGTCAGTTTTCGACGATGCAACGTATTAGAAATAGACGTGTTTACTTGGTGATTCACGGTCCAACAAGGTAACATTTCGGCCGCATGGGTGTGTAGAACAGTACACGAACTGATCTCATGATTATAGGCAACAAGTCCACTTCATATGCACTATGTCAAAAATTTGTTCTTCTTGATCGGAAACAATTCGAATTTTTCTAGTGTTTTCTTGGGGGATCCCTCTTCCTCCCGCCAACTTAACTAAAGAGGAAATAATGTCCCATCACTTTTTCTTGTCAAATCTTGTGTGTTTGCTCTATCCTTTCTAGGAAACATTCTTCTAGTCACTGAATTGATTCGTGGTGAAAGCCTGGAAAATCTCTTGAAGGCTGAGAGGGCTCCTGCGGAAAGGAACAATTATCAAAACGTCCGGTGTAAGCTGAATGACCGGCAGTTGGTTACAATTGCACTTCAGATCGCCGCAGGAATGCAGCACTTAGAAGAAAGAAAGGTGACACCTGTTGACTGTGAAGTTAAATTTGCTAACCTGTCGTTAGAGAAGGCTGCTCTAAATATAGTACAGGCAGTTGAAGCATGAAAAATATTTTTTGTGTCTTTTTTTATAAACTTTTAGAGCGAAAGTAACTTTCTGAGAAAATCCAGGCGGGAAACTATACGAATTTAACATCTTTGGCCATTTCCTACAGCCAAGTAAGGAATAACTGCCCAGCACATTTGGAATTGAAGTTTGAAGTTTTGCCAAAAGTGTCAGGATTTTATGAACTTTTCCCATAATTTTTTACCATAGCGTAAGCACAGGTTGTAAAGTGAGGGTACAAATCACTCACCCCATTATTCGTGAGTGTCTTTAAAGAAGCAAATGTGTAACTTGTCTTCTCTAACAGTTTGTTCATCGCGATCTAGCAGCCAGGAATGTTTTAGTTGATGCCAACCTGGTGGCTAAAGTTGGAGACTTTGGATTAGCCAGGGACATATCCGCTGCTGGTATATACACAGTGACCTCCAGCAAGGGGGTAAGTTTCTCAAGAAACTGTGGTGCTGCGTCGGTGGGGAGAGTCAAGATAATTTGGTTTTATCAACTGAGTTGATAGTGTAAATTGACTACTGTAAAGAATGCAAAAGCTGACGCTTCGAGCGTTAGCCTTCCGTCAGGCCAATCTCTCTGACGAAGGGCAAACGCTCGAAACGTCAGCTTTTAAACTCTTTACGGTGGCCCAATTTCATTTTTAACTCGTGAATTGCGCGCATGCGCAAGAGCGAGTTATAGGTACGATGTGGGGAATAGCATTCGCTCGCTCGCTCGCTCGCTCGCTCGATTGGTCGATTCCTGTAAACTTTTTTTAGATTTTAAGCTTTTGAGTGCATTTGATAGTTTTTGGCGAGCAATAAACAAACATAATGGCGACCTTTGTGGCTAAGAATAGTGGTGGGGTGAAAAAGAAGCCAAAGATAATCTTAAAAGAGTTTTTTTTTCGTTTTAGTTTCAACAAGCGGCGCCAGCGACTAGCAGGCGTGCAAGGATTCACACTGAAATAACAGAACAACCTTCGTTTTTCATAAAATTGTAGTTCACAATCCTTGAACTTGAAAACAATCCGAAGATTCATTGAAAATATCACTTACTGTGAAGCGCACAGAGTTTGCAGATGTTCAAAAGCTTTTTCTGTTATAGCGTGAGATTGAGGACAAAATCGATCATTACGTTTCGTATCGTGTGTTTTTCCTGTGTGAAGCAACAAAAGATGCCGGCGACTGACGAAATTACAAGTTAACACGAAAATCAAATAACACTTAAATAAACAATTTTAGCTACCGATTTTCAGTGAATTTTTAATGAACAATTTTCTTTTAAGTTTCAAGACAATTTGAAGATTCAAAATACGCATTACGTACTAAAATGTGAAAGTTATACACCACAAAATTGATAAATAGGTCTGAAATGAAATTCTATCCTGTTATTGATTATACGTTGCCTAGCACGTGACTAAAATCTACCCAGGCGGAGATCCAAAATGACGGTGGCAGTCTTGGCTTAGTTATATCACTCAAAACTCGTTCCCGTTTGTCTCATTTGATAAAGAGGGAATCGTTAATGTTTTCATTAAGACAGTATTGCCTTGATTTTCTAATTTTTACAATGATAGACAGTAAATTTCACTTTTCACCCACATTTACTTCCAACCTTTTCTTTTGAACCAGAAACAAAAATGATATACTTTTAAATCACATGACATCATCCACCTTGTCAAATGTAATAGCATAATCATTTCAATTTCAATTACTTTGTTTCTTTGCTACATTAGCGAACACTGAACTACTGCTTGTACTCTAGATACGAAAATCAACCACAAAATTCCTTAAAACAGATAACATTAAACATAATCCAAAAACTCATGTGTCAATTCACGAGTTTGCTCATAGAGCACTTTGATCAACTCATTTGATCAACCAAATTAAGCAAATAAACGAACTTAAAAGCATTTGAATTGATACCCTTTCATAGTAAAGTCGGAGACGATAAATTTATTCCTTCTAACGTTATAATTCAAATGAAACTCCAAACGAGCTGTGTTTTATGTGACGCGTTTACTTAATTAACCCTGGTCTCGTGTCTGTACTGATAATAATGACTATAACAATAGTAAGGATAGAAATAATAAAATCCACGATAACCATCACCCTGGATTTTACTGGAATCAATAATTGTTAAAAACTGATATATATCTCAACGTTCAACGTTCAGTGGAAAATACGTCAAGGTTGCGTGGAGATGGTCGTCGTTAGAATCTCTGCGAGATCTGCATTTTACATCCATGAGTGATGTGTAAGTTTCAAGTTGTAGTTAATAATGTCAGAGATCTGTCTCTTGACTTTGAGTCGCAAGTATTGACTGGCGAAAGAAAAAGAAAAAAACACGTGTGCCCTACGCTTATCATGGTTACATCTGGGCTTCATTTTTCGTTGTTTACTCGTTTTTATGTATATGCATGGTGTATCTATGTCTATTTGCATTTGTGGACACACCATGAGAACTTAACATAACTAAAGTAATTCCTTCCTTCAAATCGAGCATCATATGCTCATATTAGTTGATTGAAATAATTATTTATACCAGAAGCGAGGTTCACATGACAGGAGAGACTCAGCGAAGTCTTAAGCGATGTATATTTCCATTAAACAATCAAAAAATACAACGAGGCTCGATCCTTGATCAATTCAGTGCTAGTTGTTCCTTATTCATTGATGTTATACAGGCCTTGGTGCATATTTGCAGGTGGTCATTTGGTATCGTTCTATGGGAAATCGCCACTCATGGTAAGTGCAGCGTGATACTATGTACGACTTAGAACGACATCCTGAGAACTATAAATCATGCTTTCGTCAGGAGTTAGGCTCCTATCCGTTACAGCAGCCTACAGTTAGCGAGTAAGCTAACTTTCATGGTGATGATCCATATCGACAAACGTATCTTCATTTAAAGAAATGATTGTTGCTTGAAAGACGAAATTGAAAAAAATCGGGGGACCACTTTATGGTGTCTTGGTATGGGCTGTGTGCATGCTAAACCTTCTCTTTTCATTCATACGTGCTTCGTCTTGTTTGTCACAGCGCTTAATTTTTGTTTATCTCACTGAGCCTCATGAAGTCCTTGCAAGTCTCCATTTTTACGTAAATTTACCACTGAAATACTGTTTGCCTTAAAGTCATTTCTTTAAATCTAGATTTTCTAAGGTCATATCTTCTGCTTTTCAAACAGGTGAGTTGCCATACCCATACCCTGACATCACATCTCCAATTGCCCTAGTAAGTCGACTGGCTACGGGATACAGGATGCCTCGTCCCGATCAATGCTATGGAGAATTGTAAGCTTCAAAGTCTTGTATAAAGCCAACAGAAAATAAATTGAGCTATTGATTATATTGTAGAATGCTTCAAATGATCATGAAAGAACGTCTACTTGCCTTATTTCTAGAAATAATTTCAATGCGTTCTGCCTTCGATCCAAGTTTTGGAAGATCAAGGCTCTGACATCCTTTTTTTCTTGTCGAAAATCGAAACAATGCATCGAATCATGTCATTCGTTCTGATTTAAAAAGTTTTTGCGTGTCAAGTCAAATCTCACATGTCACAAGTCAGTCATCTCCCCAGTAAGCTCTATCATCAGTTCGTGCAAGGTCACCACTTTGCGCCCCTTTTTACACTTGGTATGGTCATTTTAGATACTGAAAGCGTTAGCTGCAAGACAATGTTAACTAGAACTGTATTGAATTTTTAGATATGAGCTAATGAGCTCTTGTTGGAAAGAAAATCCATTGATGAGACCAGCCTTTTCAGAGATCGCTCAACAGCTGCAAAATATTTTGCGAGAAGTGAAGGTAATCAACCTGAAACAAGCTAAGCTAACCAAATTGTATTTCATGCAGTTCTCTTATTGTGTCTGAGTTATCTAGTTTTCTGTCCGAATTAGAAAGAAAACATTTTCCATTCGAACGAAGTTGGCGAGGGAGAGTGGATTTAATGGCTGTATCCATCTTTTTCCCTCCTTTCGTCCTTTTCCAGACCATAGATCCTTCTGTCACCCGATCAGTCCTTCGGGTAAACCTCTTATTTTTAACTGCAGCCATCCATCCATTTGTACACATAGTCATCCATCCGTTTGCTTGTTCGTTCATCCACCTGGGCGTACATTCGTTTCTTCTTTTGCTTGTTCCTAAGTTCATTCTTTACTTTGGTATTAATTCATACACACCATTATTTCTATCATCATTCATCATTTTTTAGTGTTAATAATCAATAGATGACATCTTTATTCCTATTATTTATTTCAGAGGACATATACAAATATCAACGATGGAGAAGCCTGATGACGCTCTTATGCCGAAGCAAAAAACTCACTCGATTTAATTATCAATATAAAAACAACCACGATATCTCAAATAAGTGCATAAATGTACTGAGGCCCGATGATTATGCTTATGAAATCTGTGTGACCCAGATGCTGTCGCTGACTAGGCTCCAAAATTTCGAATTCAAGTATTTGTCTCCCTGTTAGTGAAGGTTTCGCAATTAGGTAAGGAAAATTGCAGCAAAGAATAGACGGTGCTACCTGTACTACTTTCGACGCCAAATCGGTTAAAAACGAAAACAAAAAAACAAACGTAAATACACAAGCTTGGCGCGGATTAGATTTGCTCTGAAAATCTAAGCACGTATCTGTTCTAACTTGCAAGCAGCTCGACCTCACTAGCGCCACGACACAAGCGTTTCTTGGCTTGCAGGAAAATTGACCAGTTCAGTAAGGTGAGCCACTCATTACTTATGCCACAGCACTATCAATGAAGGCCTCAGGCTTTCAGGCGATTATCTGTCTAGACTAATCTATTTGTAGCCTTTAAGTACAACGCCATATGGTAATGGCCTACTAAAATCCCTTTTTGACAGCCGGTTCTACCATTTGTTCGTAAACATGGAGCTAATTGCAACTGGATTTTGTAGCCGGAAAGCTCTTCGAAAGCTTACCAGTCGATTATCAATGAATATCTGGACAAATATTCTGAAAAAGCATGACAAATTTCCTAAGTCTGATAGAAACACATAATGATGGTTAAATTAAATATTATGAACAAATTAGAACTGTATGTCATATGAGTAACTCGAAACTACTCCACTTAATGTTCAGGTCAATGAATTATTTGTTCTCAATTTGTATAGGAAGCACTTCTTTTGAAATGTTCTATAGTTGTAAGGCACTTCCGAGAAATTTCATTGGACTAACGTTAATTAAGTCTCGTTTGTATATCATCGCAAATTTTCCTTTTAACTAAGGTGCGTGGTTAGGGTCCCCAACACTTAGAGACGCTTATATTAGAGAGCAAATAGCCTGTTATAACCTGAGACATGTAGAATCAAGTTTTAATACCTTCTATGGCTTCGAATAATGATTTTAGCTCTGTAAACGATGCCTGAAAGCTATCGAAACTCTAAACTGTAGGAAAGAAGTTAAGTTCAACAGATGTATAACTTAAGCTAAGTTCAACAGATGTATAACGTAAAGATTCAGTTATTAGGCAATTTTCGGATAAGAAAGGCATATCAAATTAAGAATTACGGCTACAGCATGCGAGGTAGGTGTATTTTTTGGCCAGCAAGCGTTCAGTTTCCTTTTAAGTAAAGTTCAAGTTGATCGCTAACGTGGATTTCAAAACCAGATGGAGTTTGTATAAAAAGACAATTCATTTTACTTTACAGGGAAGAGGTGAGGGGATCTAATGGAAAGACATTCGGAAAGAGGAGTCTAGGGGAAGGGATAGAGTCTTGAGTCACTTTCTAACATCATTTTCGGGCTCGTGTAACTTTGTTGTCTTTGAAAAATTTAGTAGTACTTACGAGCAACAAAGTGCACGAGAAATCATGTTGGTAATTTAGTGTTAACAATTGGGTTGAAAACGTAAATTAGCCACCGTAAAGGGTAAAAAAGCTGACGTTTCGAGCGTTAGCCCTTCGTCAGAGCGATGGCGAGAAATCATGTTGTTCGCTATACTAGCATTGCAGTATGTTTGATTGTAGATCAGCCGCATCTTTTCCTTTCCTGTATTCACTGTTTTTAAATAAACAATATGTGTTTACGCAAACTTTACTGCGCGAAGATGAAACTATTCACATCTTGGAGAAGGTCTTTACTAAGACTCCAAGGAACCAGTTATTCTTCTCGAACAAAATTCTTCAATAAAGTCCCTAAAGTCAAGTCAAAACCAAAAACGAAGTTGATTACAAGATCTCGAAAAAAAAATGATTCCAGGACTAAGCATTAAAAGTGCAAGAAAATGTTCGTGTCTCGTGCTACAAGACGAAATTATGGTTTGGCCTAAATAATTATTTAAAACTGATTAAAAGAAGAAAAACGAAACGGTTAAAATAATATCATACGAACTCTTAAACAAAGGAAAAGTTAATTCTTTAAATCACTCTTCTTTTGGAAACCCGTATCTTTTCCATGTAATCGCGAATGTAACAAGTAACAATTACTTTGTGAGAGTAGAAATATAGACTTTACCTGGTACCAACGTAATCTTGAATTAGGTCCAGTATTTCCAGTCCTTTAGACGCACTATTGCGGTAACCTTCTTCCCCTTAAGACATTGCAAAATTGAAAATAGACTAAACAATGGAATACTGAATCTTAGAGAACAAACAAATGATGACTCTGGTAATGTTCCCTTAAAAAAAAAATTATAGCAATAAAATACTAAAAATATGCTGATTATGCTAGCATTGCTCCTTTGTAACAAAATGCAAAAATTATGCTCGTTTTCCAAATTACGCCAAAAATTACGCTTGCCTAATGTATAAGGGCCTATGACCTATAAAAATGTTCTCACTTATATCTGTGCATATTTATACGCGGCGCCTATGTCTCGGGGACTAGAGACCGTGCGAGGGCAAAAAACAAAATAAAAAAGGCTTGGCTGCACTCTGTTCTGTGTCTAGAGCACTCAAGAAGTACAGAGAAGCAATCAACTGCGTCTCGTATTTTCCCTATATTTCGTTCGTTCTCTAGCTGCTCCCTAACAGGATTCTTAAACTGTTAATTAAAGGAGGTAATTTAGTGTTAACAACTGAGTTGAAAACGTAAATTAGCCACCGTAAAGGGTAATCGCTCTGACGAAGGGCTAACGCTCGAAACGTCAACTTTTTTACCCTTAACGGTGGCTAATTAATGTTTTCAACTCAGTTGTTAACACTAAATTACCTGCTATACTCTCCCACCGACGCAGCGGCCACAGTTTCTCTAGAAACTTACCCCTTTGTTAATTAAAGGCATGCTTATCGCAAAGATATATTTTCAGCATTTTTTTAGCACTTGAGTCTATATGCTCTTTGACTCTTATCTTCAGAATCTAGCTATACGTATACGGTCACCGCTGAAGATGTATGGTAAAGAATGACCAATGATGGTATGCACATTTGTTCTTGTACTGCTTGCTCCACCGTCCTTTGTTCCAGTTTTCCACCGTCCTTTGTTCTACACCTTCGTTTTACACTCCAACATTGTGCGCTTGCGTATTACACGTGTCCGCCATCATGGACATCTCATCTTGGTTTGAAGATGTGAGACGAATGAATAAAAGACAGGTTGTACACCGGTTTAAATACGATTTCAGTATAAGATTATTGTAGAGGAATGTTTTATGTTCTAACAGACCGATTTTCAATCCCCAGCTCTTTTATCAAGGTCTGAATTTTGCCATGATAGTGTCATCTGCTCTCATGATCTGGAAAGGATTGATGGTGGTTACGGGCAGCGAGAGTCCTATAGTTGTAGTTTTGAGGTAAATAATTGAAAAAAATAACTCGTGAGAAACATTTTCTATTTCACCACAATATTGTATTTTAGAATTTTGAAGCATTTGATGATACTGAAGTTTTTGTTTAATTTTCAGTGGAAGCATGGAGCCTGCTTTTCAGCGCGGCGACCTTTTGTTTCTAACCAATAAAGAAGATCCGATTCGTGTCGGAGAAATCGTTGTATTTAAAGTTGAAGGGCGCGAAATACCTATCGTTCACCGAGTTTTAAAGATACACGAAAAGTGAGTGTGTAGCTTTACCTCTTCTCTTAATTTCATCAATATTCTGAACGTGAAGTACTTGGCTTCCGTTTGAATTCTAATCTCTAAAGTGGGTTCTAACAATCTTTACTGTGCTTATAGTATCGAAGGCTTTCACTTTTTATTGGAACAGTCTTAACGATTGTAGTCTAGGGTTGTCTCTGCTAATAGAAATTACATGGCTGGATTGAGTGCTCATTTGAAAATCACAGAGTCCTTCAACAGTTAATGAGAGATATACCCTTGGACCTAAATTGTACAAAGCACTGTTTTTCCTGCTGATTTACCACTTATGTTTTTTCTTTAGCATGTTTTACAATAATTATGCTACACTTTGTCATGGTATATCAGAAGGTAGCTTGCCTGAGAAATTTATTTTTCTGGTACACACTTTCCTTCAAGGCATATGTGTATACTGAAAAAAATGTATTTGCTTCACAGGATATTCCGTGGTAATTTTCTTGAAAGTGTTCTATGATTAGTATGTATGTTATTTTACCACAATAGGCAGTAATGTGGCAATCTGACAGCCCAATTTGCTGTTGTTGATAAGAGTAGAGACAATACGCTGCTGGCATCAATGTGTCACACAATACCTTTGTCACTGAAAGAGTCATTTAAATGAACATCAAAATTGTGGTAAAAAACAACTCAACAGACTTAGCGTGGTCTGTACTCTCAACAAAAATGATATTTGTCATCCAGTGGTCAAAATTTTTTGTGGACTCACTCTGCTGCGCCTCGTAAGTCCACAACATTTTGACCACTGTGATGACACATATTATTATGGATAAAACTACAGATCACGCTAAACTACATGTACTGTCCAGTTGTTGATTTTACACTGCATATTACATTACTCAGAATCTCTCTTTTTGCTAGAGGTGCATCTTAATGGGTATCTTTTAATTTTGAAGTTTCCAACATTAACTTGTTGGCTTGAGAATGTGCAGATTCTTACATTGGATATTTTGATATTAAATGATGATGTGCAGATTCTTACATTGGATATTTTGATTTTAAATGATACTTCCTGTTTATTTTTTTTTTATTCCACATGGCATATTCATTGTGTATTTAACCCTTTAATTCCCAGATCAAATTTGTAGTTCTCCTTACTGCCAACAATACAAATCTTATAATGTTAGTTCAGAGAATCTAGTATTGAATCAACTAATTATCCCCAAATTGATATTTTTCTTTATTCTCATCACGTATCAGGTTGATATTGTATTGATATTGTAAGGAGAAATTCTGTCTTGGTCACTCATGGGATTTAAAGGGTTAATTTAACTATTATTTATTCTATAATACCTTGTCTAGAAAAAATTAACGCTTCTCTTAAATTCGTAAGCCCTAATTTGTACGTGGAACTGCTAAGGCAGATTTAGCCTCTAGTTATATATATGCAAGAACTTTGAAATCATTGTAACTGGAATGAATATTTCTTTTCAGAGAGGATGGTGCTATCAAATTTTTAACAAAAGGTGACAATAACTCAGTGGATGATCGAGGGCTCTATGCTCCTGGACAATTGTGGTTAGAGAAAAAAGATGTTGTTGGGCGAGCAAGGGGGTAAGATGCACAGTTGTATTTGTTTTTCCTGTATATTAAATCAGGGGTCAAAACTGTCAATATCAGATTTTTTCTGGGAGCACTGTCCTGACAGACAAATATGATGGAAATAATATAAATTTTAAAGGGAAAGTGCAGTGACAAGTACTAAATACCTGTCCCAGAGAGGTGTTAACTTTTTTTTTTAGAAAGTAAAGGTGTGAAAAGATAGCAGCTGAGTTTTAAAGCTTGAGGGGATTATGTTTTGTTTGTTTGTTTTTTCTTTTTTTCACATATAGTACAGAATCTAAGACTACTTAATTCTAGTGTGCTTCACTTCTTTCAAACTGTCCCCTTGTCAATCTCTAATTGAGACAAATGATTGGTCTACTTACCTATAAAGTTTCTTTCCTTTGAGACCACTTAATATTTCAGTGATTTACTTCACCAAACCAGAAAAGAAAAAACTTACAGATTACCATGACTTATTCATGTAGCTCTTAGTGAAATGAATTAACATGTAATAAACATTTTTTTCAACAACACATGCACCATGTCACTCTCTAGATTTTGGTCAAATGGGTGACCCCTAGTACAGGTGTAATTTACATGTACATTCAGCTGGAAATAGGAAGTGGTGTAACTTTTGTAATAAGTATTACATTTTGAATTTTAAGCCACTAGAGGGTTTCTTATGTGTGTTTTTTGTTTTGTTTATTTAATTTTTTTGTTATTTGAAAAGAGTACTTGATTAAAATTTACTAGTCTGAGTATTTTTTTTTTCTTTTTCAGGTTTGTCCCTTATGTTGGCATGGTAACAATTCTCATGAATGATTATCCAAAATTTAAAGTAAGTCCTAGATTATTGCACAGTGTTACAAAGAAATTTTTTTTATTTTTCACTTTTAAGTGGTGACTTCAGAGGAGTTTTTCAGCCTCTGGGGACTTAGCTCTCATTTGGATTGAAAGAAAATACATCATTTAGTTTTTTTTTTTATCATAGTTTGTTGTTGTTGTATTTTATTTCGGTAGGCTAATTCCATCATATCTGTGAAAATACTTCAACATAGTGTTATTGTTTTGGGATTAATTTTGGTTATTATGCACTGTAAGAAATCCATAACAATTATTTAAATAGATGATTGATGTGCTCTCCTCTTTTGCTTTTTAGTATGCCATTCTTGCTGGATTAGGTGCATTTGTTCTTTTACACAGAGAATGATGGAAAGGATTACAAGAAAAATAGTGAGAAAACCCAAACAGTAGAGGGCCTAGATTTCCTTCCCCTTTAAACATCTTTTAAATCTTTTAATTTCCAAGATTTGATTATTAATTCTCTTCTCTCACTGCTATACATTTACTTGTAAATTACTAGTAGTTACAAGAATTTGGTGGTAGATTGAGTTGGTATCTTCTACCTGATAATGTTGAATATTCTCATTACTAGTTTGCTGGATAATGTTGGGATATTATAGGGAGAAGGTTCTTATCAATCGCCTATAGGATTTACAATGATTAGATGTAAGAGTAAAGAGTTAGACCATAGATCACTGTTTAAGTTGACAAAAAAACTATCGTCACAGATATTTCGATGCGAGATTAATTTTCCTGTTCCATGCATGGCAATAACATCATTTAGGGCATGTTTGTACTAGCTGTTCAAACAGCTTTTAGTGGCCAGTTACCAGTCACATGCATATATTATGTCAAGCACTCTAACAGTTCATTTTTTTGCAAACCCTATTAGTTAACCCTATTTATGAACATAAATAAACAGGTTGATTTTATCAATGGTCTTTCAGACTTTCTTAAGGTTTCTGGTTCATTTTATTATTGCAGTATGAAGGGAGAAAACAAACCCCATGGTTGGCAGAGTGGCGGCCCACAAAGTGCTGTGTGTTTTTCTTGTGCTGCTCTGTCATGGTTTTGGTTTAACCCTTTCAATCCCAAGATCTTATTAGTAATTCTCCTTAATGATCGCCATACAATTCCCATGATTTTAGTTCTGAGGATTTGTTATTAGATCAACTAATAATCCCCTACTTTATACTTCTCTTTGTTCTCATCCCTTGTCTGCTTGATATTGTATGGATATTGTGAGGAAAAATTCTGTCTTGGTCACTCATGGGAGGTAAAGGTTTAAAGAGAAAGCAGGCGAAAATGCTCAGAGGAGGTTGGGGAAAGAGTTATGAGATCACCTCCTTCCTTTCCTTGGATTTTTTATGAAATTTGCTTTTTTGTCATTTTCATAGACTGAGTTTGTAACGGGTAATTTAGTGTTAACAACTAAGTTGAAAATGTAAATTAGCCACTGTAAAGGGTAAAAAAGCTGACGTTTTGAGTGTCAGCCCTTCATCAGAGTGAAGGTTAACAGGCTAACAGGCTACTGTTCTTTCATCCACAATGACACACATGCAAACTGGGCATATTGCTGCCTGAGCATGTAGGCTCACATTGAATTCATTATGGGTTAGGTCTCCATAGCTGGCTTAACCAATCCCTTGAGAAAATTTATGCTAAAGTATCTGTTATATTACTTCCTCTTGCATAAATTTATGTTCAAATGTAATGTGATATTTTTATGGTACAGTACTAAGTTCTTGAGAGCTCTTATGTAGATTGCTAGCTTAGTCAGGGCAACCTAATTAATTTGCTCCTTCAGTCATACAAAGAAAAGGATTCCATGTTGCTGTGCATCTGTTCAATCATAGATCTGAGTATGTGTCGGATCAGAGTCTCTGTCACATCATTGATACACTCAACTTCCCATCATGTGCCACTTTTTTTGTTCTTACGGCATTTTTGTCATCTTTGATCTGTAACTGAACAGGTACATGGCAACACAGAATCTGTTTGTTAAATGACTCGCATGTCAATATCAAAACCTGAAGAAAGGAACTTAAAAAATCTGATTATTATGGTGGACAGTTATAGATGACAATTTTTTTAAAATTTATTATTATATTATTATTATTATTATTATTATTATTATTATTATTTTTAAAGAGCAAAACACAAGTGAAAGAAGTATGCTTGGTCATTATGACATCTCTTTTTCAAGGAAGTATAGCCTTACCAGGCTTTCCTTCAGAAGAAACAAGCCAGAAAAGCAGATGGGGACTTGTTAAAAAAAAAAACATGCAATTGTTTCTCAGACAATCTCGGTCGCTGTTCGTCGTTAGCCCGCTCTTTCACATACCTCCGCGACCGAGGGCCTACAAAAGGCTAAAAAGATATTGAAAAATGGTGGAAACATTTTTTGATGTAATTTTCCGGTAGCCACTTGTGGCAAACTGTAAATCAGGCTACCTTTTGCTTCCAATTACCCTCTTTGTCTCTCTGAGTCAAATTACCTTTGTTGCAGACGTAATATCGTTTGAACAGTCTCGGTAAATGCTTCGTAAATACATGGTGTCGTGGATAACATCAGTGGAAAAATGGCAGTTAAAGAATCCAGGAAAAGTTATAAGTTCAACTTCCAGGCCTTAGAAGCATTTAAGTACATTGCAAGATTTAAGAACATTGCAAGAATAAAATAAACTATCGTGATCACTACGTTCGTTTCTGCGCTTTGTCTTTGTCCTTGCAAAGAGTAGCATTAAAAAAGAGAAAAATAAAGAGGTTAAGTTTCTAAAGAAACTATGGTGCTGCGTCGGTGGAAGAGTATAACAGAGTAATTTGGTATTATTAACTGAGTTGATAGCGTAAATTGACCATTGAGAAGAGTTTCAAAGCTGACGTTCCGAGCGCTAGCCCTTCGTCAGACCCAACAAAATGAAAAAAAAAAAAGCAAAAGGTTGTGAAGGGGTCATCTTAATCTCCTTTCGATTGATTGAAGTCCCCCTCCATCTCTACTCTTGCTTTGTCTTCAAATTGTGTATTCTAAATGATTGAAAATCTAAAATGGGCGCTCAGGGATATTCCGAAAGCAAAGAAAGGAAAGAAGCGTTAAGCGAATAGATGAGAAATAAACTGAAAATAAAATGAGAATCTCATTTACCTTGCAACCCAAATATGGCATTCCTAGCCTTATTTGGAAGGAGAGGTTTCTGCATGTTCCGGGAAGCGTGGTAGCCTCGAGGAGTGCGCGCTGTTTTCTTCGCTTTTCTTTTGTTTTCTTTCCGTTTTTACAACTTTACTGCGAAAGAATTGGCAAAACTAAGGTGATAACTCAACTTATCCATTCGAAATCTTCAACGCTGCGAGTGCAAGCGTAACTCTGCCGAATATCTACGTGGCAGACCTCCATTGAAATCGGACAGATCATGGAAACCGCAGGCGATAGTGACCTAACCGGCGAAAAACAAAACGAAGGACGGTAAGACATTTATCTTTATCCGTCACATGTATTATTTTTGGCCAGTAATTTTTTCAAATATGTCTTTTTTATTGATACTGACGGCTGGCTTCGAAAAGTAGAGTGAAAGCTGTTGTGTCGGTCTCAAAACGAATAATCGGACAATCTCATTACTATTTCATAACTCTTCAACAAAATGAAGTCGTACAGAATTAAAAGGATGATTATTAAACTTTTCAATGTCTAAATAACTTACCATATTAATGTGATACATCCACAACACGGTTTAGGCGTTCAAATATCTAAATCTTAGTCAGAAATCACTTATTCTGCCACAGTATTTACGTGTATCGGAATTTGTCGAACTTGCGGACTAAATGCATGTCGACTTGATTTGCAATTTATGGACATTTTTATTGTGAGGAATGAGTGCTTGATTTGTAACGTTACTCTGGGGACAGTTTTGTTTTTTACCGTTATGGATGGTTTACGTGTTGCTTTTTTTGGTGTGTGTTTGTTATTTGTACAGCACCATGGTTGACTGGATATACTAAGAAGTTAAAAGTTTACGCAAAGTTTACCAGTTACACTTGCTGTAGTCTTAATTCACAGAGTGTGTGGGCGCGAACTATTTTGAGTCGCTTAAAAACATGATAACATGTTTATTGAATACCATCATTATTGCAGGGTAGAAGGCTTTTAAATTTCGTTGGTAGATTGAGAAAGAATAAACAAGTGTACGATTTGACTTGTCTCGAAATATGCCATTTAAATTAATGTACATCCTTACTAAAGAGAAAAAATCAGCGGGTCTTGGATATGTATGGCTTCATCGATTATCAGTTTATACTTTTGCTCTTGAGTGGAATCAGACAATTTATACTATTTAGCTGTACAAGTAGTTTAGTCGCAAAATGTGAATAGTTTGTATTAAACTGTTACTGAACAAGTCTCAACAATCTACCAGGCCTAATAACAGAAATGGCCCGGTTGTGTATTTTCAGGTTTCCCTTTTTTTTATTCTTGGGTGAGATAAAACTTTCAAGTACAGACAGGTAACAGTGTGTGATATCTTACAAACAATTGTGTTTCTTGTAGGTCATCTGTGCAAGACAGATCGTCAGGTACACAACTTCCTTTACTTCATCCAATTTTCATTATTCTGTTTATATTCAATCAACACTCTCCTTGCCAATAATAACTTGAAAAGCCTAAATTCTTACTAAGTGATACATCCACTACTGATCCCAACTTTTGGTTTATAGGTAGCAGTTAGAAATTTTCAATCATTTGAGTTTGATGGAGTTAGGAATGGGATATATAATGGTAATTGAACTAAGTGGAGTGCAATTTGGGCTGAAATCATACGCGTGATTTCAAAATTGAACGAGCGCGCAGTGCGAGTTCAATTTGAAATCACAAGTATGATTTCAGACCAAAATTGCACAACACAAGGTTCAATTACCACTTTATTACATCCATTTTGAAATCGCCCAAATACAGGACTTAAATTCATCCATTTTTTGGGAGGAAAAAATAAGAGTTTTGGAAACAAAAGTTGCAGAATTTGCCACATGATCCTTCATGTCTTTCATCTTCCTGCAATTTGATTGGTTACTTAAAACAAGCCTTGAAGTCTGATTGGTTGTTTTGTTTTTAGTGTAGCCTCCTTGTTGGCTGGAAAAAAGATGCGATTTAAAGCAAAAAATGGTGCAATTCGTGAATAAATCGCACCAATTAGAGCCAATCAGATTACAGGGACCACCAGTGATTTCAAAATGGATGTAATAAAGTCAGTAATCCTTTGATACAATGAAAGAGCAGAATGTGCTGTACCTTGGCCCTTAACCCTTTAAATCCTAGAGGGGATTGAAATGTAACTTCTCCCTAAGATATCCATGCATTTTCTGAAAAACTGGTCATGAGAATACATGTACTCAAACTTATCATGTAGAATTTGTTATCTTGATTTCACACCAAATTCTCATAACTTTTTTAGTAGGAAATGTCGAGGAGTTACAGCTACATATAAAATAAAGAATTGACAATAAGAAATTTTAGGTTAACAGAGTATTGTACTTGAACTTAAAATAATTGTTTTCCAAGTTATTCAGAACAGTAGAGAGTATGAAAGTTTTGTTGTATCTTTCTAGCCAAAAAAAAAGATCTCAACTAAACAGATCAAATTTGATAGAGCAGAAGCACATACATTTGTAGATCAATCAATTTTCCCTCTCTTCTAGCTGAAAATAGTCCATCTGCTAGTCCAAATAAACCTGAGCAAAAGCCTGAGCAGAAGAAGGTAAGACCAAAATTGAACAATGTTTTGATGCTACGCACCTTACGTGTACTTGTATACAGAAAAAAAACCGAACCTAATATGTTATTATGTTAAGGGAATCAATCAGGAAACAACAAAAACAAGTACCAAGGGCCAAATTTCTCAAAGTACAGCTGCCCCTTGACACAACCTGTCAAAACTGGGATAATCAGTAAGAAATTTAAAACAATGCCAATTCTTAGACTTTTGAGAGGGCAAGCAAGGACAGTTTGGAAGTTTGACAATCTTGAACAATTTGTGAGAAAAAGAGGAGCTTCACAGTGTTGTCATTATTGTTATTATCTCTAATTTGTGTGATTCTTTCCTTTTGAGTATGTTTTTTTTTTTTGTACAGCTTACTGTTACATGGCCTTGAAAACAAAAAGTCACGTACTGTCAGTGTGTACAAAGGGCCTTTCATAAGAATCAAGCTTAGAGCTGATGTTTTGCTTTTGAGCAATTTGTGGTAAATTCTAACACCTTTATTTGGATTTTTGACACTTTAGACTATATTTTCAAAAGGAAAGAAAAGGAAGAAGACTGACAAGGACTTGAATGCTCCTAAAGCCCCTCTTACTGGTTATGTCAGGTTCCTGAATGAGCATCGAGAGAAGGTCAGGGCTGAGAATCAGAACCTTCCTTTTCATGAAGTTACCAAGATTCTTGGGAATATGTGGAGTCAGCTACCTTCTCAGCAAAAACAGGTACACTTTCATGTAGCTACTACACATTTGTCTTCAGTAGCATAATGGCAGGTTTTGCCACTGCTATAACCTTTCTAGGTTGGAATGGACTTACAGATTGCACTACTCAAAATGTACATCAATCTCGAGCAGCATGTATTTTCCTGACACTTATACATTTCTTGCTATGACCACATTTAGTATACATGATTTTGTACCATTATAAGAAGAATTTTCTTTTCTTGGTGACAACCTACAATTAAACTGAAACTTTTATCATGAGTGGTTTTTACTTTTGCTGAAGAAGATGCACCTGTAATTACTTTTTCACTTGTAAGTGTCTTTGCAAGAGCTATTTCATCAGACTAGCTTCTTTCTAGTGTCTGTACATTCCACAACATCATTTTGTTTGTGTTCCATATTTGCAGGCCTATTTGGAAGAAGCTGAGAAGGACAAAGAACGTTATATGAAGGAACTAGAAGTATATCAACAGACTGATGCATACAAGAACTTTGTAGCCAGACAAAAAGCAATGAAAAAAGGTCAAGCTGCATTTATCAAAGGGACATTTTCCATTTTCCCTGTAAAGCATCATGCATACTTCCAAACAGTTGTTCAAAACTGCTTTGGTGAACATGGGCTGACTTTTGGCACATAATCAGTTGAGCTCACTGTTGTAGAAAATAAGCGGCATTCAGTCAAAATGTTTTGATTCACCCACATGTAACATCTATAGAAATGGTCATGTTTTTACAACAGGGGTGATGTATAGATATTTTCTACAGAAGTAGTGTTTGACATGTTTTGACTTTTTTTTTAGGTGAAGGAGATGTCAATGGTGCTGAGGTAAATAAGCAAAAAAAATTAAGCATTCTGTACACTCTTCCTTGTATATTATTTTAATGGCAATTCTAAAATTTAGAAGTCACTGGTAGATTCAATATCATGAATGGTGATAACAATTGCAATATTATGTTGTCTCCTCTAGGGAAATGATGACTTGTTCTGCAGTGCTTGTAACTTGTACTTCAACTCACCACACAACAAGCGTGAACATATGTCTGGCAAGAAGCACTTTGCTGTGGTCTCTTCGCAGATGGACAAATCTGAGAAGCATGTAGAAAAGGCAAATGGTAGAGATTCATCTGATGCAAAAAAAGTGGAAGAAAATTCTGATTCACAGCCACTACAAATTCCTTTAGATGGAGATATTCCAATATTTACAGAGGAGTTTTTAAACTTCAATAAAGGTAAGGCCTAACCAAAAATGAAGCCATTCTGCTATTACCGGTATTAGGCCTTGTGTTCCATTAACATGCCTTGTCCTCATGGAAGAACAAGGAAGGAATAATTTTGGAAAAGCCACAGTGATATGATTATGGAAATCTAATCCAACTTACCACATGTACTTCATACAAGAATTGTCCTAATACACAATTGTTAGCCCCTGACTTGCAACATCTTGCAAGATGAGGTACCATACCTTCCATGTGGGAAGAGAGCTGTTGTACCATTTCCACTTTTTTTTTTTTTTATCTGGAGACCATGAGTTTTTAAGCTTGAAAACTGTGAGTAATTTTATGGTGGGTGTACTGTGCATGGACATGTAGCTACTGCCTGTACATGTACATTGTGAATATGTAATGGCTTTGCTCCATGAGCCTTTTTCCAGGAATACTGTGTGTACCTTATTTATTTCTTTGGTTCTTTTTGTATTCATTCCAGCTCGTGAAAATGAACTTAGGAAACTGAGGAAAGTGAACACAGAGTTTGAAGAGCAGAATGCCATTCTTAGTAAACACATAGAGAATATGAAGAAAGGCATTGACAAATTGGAAGGAGAAAGGAAAGAGCAACAAAATGAAATCAGTGCACTGCAGAGACACCTTGCCAAATTGCGACAAATAATTTCCCGTAGTTTTGTTGATATTCAAATTCCAGGAGTGACAGATCCTCTAACATCGGAGACAGTGGACTCATTTGTAGCAAAACTGCAACAATATATTCAAGAAAATAGTAAAGAAAACTTGGAGTTAACATCAAGGATAAAAGATATTATAGCTTCTCTGGACTATCCCAAGTAAGTGCAAGTTATTTCCTATTTGTGATGTTTCACCAGGTACAACTTTGGGGGGACTAGAAGTGTAAATGTTAATGTTACTTTGAATGTCATTGTTTGACAAATATTATCCCATTTTTTTGTTAGTCTTTTTAATGTTACAATGAAAAAGTGCTAAAGTTAGAAACATTTTGCATTCATGCAATTTCCATTTATTTTACAGTGGCAACACAACACTCACACTGTACCTTTCCTTTTCCATAAACACTGCAATGTGCATCAAACATTCAATACTAGATTTGTGAAGGAAAACTAAAATGAACTATTGTGAAACATATAACATACTGTAGACAGTTTTACAGTTCAATGTGGTAAATTGTTGTAATTCATCAGCAGGACTGCTGAATGATCACATCATAGTCGATTTTTTTTTGTCATTTGTTTTCTGAAGTTTACTTAGTGCCCAAAATTTTCATAAAATGTTTGAGAGATGAACTACAGTGTAGGAAGACAGGCAAGCAAAGGCTTGGTGTCAAAGAGGCTCCATGATTTTGTTTTGTTTTTTTATTTTTTATTTCTTTTTTTTTTGGGGGGGGAGTTCTTATATTTCTTTGTTCACCTTTTCATCAAGCTATTTACTTATGCATTAGAATTTATTTATTCAGTACCTTGATTCTTGAACTTAACAAAAAGCTGAAGTTAGCGGTTATCTTGTTTATTTTCAGTTGCTTAAAAGAGGTGAACAGCTGATGCACCGCACATCACTGATGCTTTGATCCATCGATAATTCATGTACCACCTTCCTTTTTCTTACTGTAGTGACTTTGTAATTCCTGTCAACTGTGTTAGTAACTATGGGTTCACCATCATTTGTAGAACTTTTTTTTACATGATGTGTCGAAGTGATGTAGGGAAACTGAGAGCAGTAATTGGGAAGTGCAACTTGTTTTCAGGATGTAGTAACTTGAGCTTGTTTAACCCTTTAACTCTCACTAGTGACCAAGACAGTCCTCTTACAATATCAATACCATATCATGTTGGCAATCGAGGTTAAGAAAGAAAAATGTCAATTAGGGTATTGTTATATGATCCAATACCAAATTCTTGAAACTAACATCATAACCTATGTATGAGAGTAAGTAAGGGGAAGTACTGGTCAGATCTTGGGAGGGAAAGGGTTAACTGTGTAGACTGGTTGAGAGAAAGATGCTTTTCGTCATTTCACGAGCGTGGGGCAAAGAAAAGTTCTTTCTCTATTCCTTTACCGAGGTTAAACTTACCATCTCTCTTATTCTACTTGTATACTTGTTATTAAAAAATTTTCCTAGCAGGAAGATTCTGAGAATAAGGGTCGCATGCGCGTACTTACACATGTTCATGTCCAAGTATGTATGCCTATGAGATTGTAATTAAGGGTACATCTTGTACTTACAACCAGGAAATCACGGGTTGATGTGTAAGGGTAGTGCATGTAGTGCTTTGATGGAAAGGACTGAAATCACTGTGAGGATAAAATAATGTGAATTGTTTATTCAAAACTGATGTAGAGTTTAGATTTTCTTGCAACTTCGAATTGGATGTGTTTACAATTTACCCTTTTTGACTCGATGAAAGTTTTCCTGATCCAGGTAAACGTTTTTGTTGTGATGGTTACAACTTGTTTGGTTTTCATACATTAGTTGAAGTAACCTCAAAACAAAGAAAATAAAACAAAAAAACAAAAACAAAAGCCAAAAAAAAAAAGAAAAGAGGAAGAAGAATGACAAGAATTAAATGGAAGGAGTAGAAAGAGATGACAGGAGGCGGTGTGCTCCTGTACAGTAATTAGTATTTGACTTTTTCGCGGTTTGTAAATATTTGGAAAACACGGAAATACTCAAGAGACCTTTCCGACAGAACAGTTAGCGATTGTGTTTTTGTACAGCGGCTTGTATTTATTGATTATGGATTTTTCCTCTCTTTATTTTTAGAAGATAATGAGACATTGTGATGTTGGTTACCGAATAAATAATTCGCCACGAGACTTGTTCAACGCGTTGTTCTCCCTTATGGAATGAAAATAAAGTTTTTGCTGCATTTTTAGTTGTTTTAAACAACTTATAGTTTTGATAGTGATTTCCTTTATTGAGGTGTATCCCTTGTGTTGATTCTATCTTCTTTTGGGTGAGGTAGCTCTTACTATTAAGTAAGTACTGGAGGTGATGCTTCGGCCACAAATTTGACTTTATTGGAGCTGATGCTAACTAAAAAAAACATAATAATAACAATAAAAAGGAGAAAATAACCAAAAGAGAACATTGTAGGTAGTCCTGTCCGGGTTCGTTTCAAGTGTTTACTTCTAGCATTCTATGCGATTATTTAATGTGGGCTGCAAAGAAAACCGGGATTATGTCAAAAGCCCAAAGAAACCTCTTTACCCGGTTCATAAGGATCACATGTCATGCAAACCGTTGTTCTTTGGATACTGCAGCAGCCCTTCCTCCAACTTGTCTTCAAGCGACGGGGCTTCTTCAGCTTCCTGAGCAATTAAGACTGTTGCGCATTTGCCATTGCTCATGTGGACCTTTGCCACTTTCCTTTGTCCCAACGGCTGCCGTTTCCAAAATAAAAAAAAAAATGGAAAAATTACTGATGAGGAACTCGAGATGTACCTATGTATTGTTTGTTTATTTTCTTCATGTCTATCTTCCTCGAAACCTACTTCTGGCCTCTGGCCTAGCGTGACTGATATCATAATCATTTGTATTTTAACAGTTAAGCCACTGTTGGCAAATTAACCCAATTGTAACGCCCAAGAACACTTTCCAGTAGTTTTCAAAGTTCAAAGAAGCGAATGAGTAATGGAAAAGAGATAATTTTCTGAATTTGAGGTAATCGTTTCAAGGGGAAATGTATTGTGGCTACCGTAATGCTTTCAAGTCCATTCAAAAGAACTGCAAAGACCTCAAAGAAACTCAAAGATACTTCGACGATTTCAAAAGCCTCCGTTTGCACTTATCCACTCAAAAAAGGAAAAAAGAAGCATTACCTTTGTATCACGTTTACAACGTATGTACCACCAAAGCCCCAAAACACCATTGATAAGCACAGTTGCCGCAATAAAAGATACAGTCACCGGGATCGAAATCTGAAGGGTTGAGGTTTCTTGCAATCTTGCTGTCAGATTTAATGTGAGAGAGAAAAATTAACAAAGTTTTGAAACTAAATGGCCAACAACCTCTATCGTAGTGATTTAAATGTATTCAAATCACTGAAAGAAGAGCTGGTATTTCCAGTTTCCTAACACGTAACCATTACCGTTTTTTACAAATACTAACCGAAAAGCTCTTAAAACAGCGTCCTATATTTTGGGAAATACCCAGCTTGAAACTTGGGTGATGGATTATTCGATTGCGAGTGTCTAATTTCAACCAACTGTCCTCTGACAATACAACGAAATCGTGAAAATTAAGGTAGTCCATCCACCAATCATAATCGCGGCCTGTATTCTTACAGCTGACTCAATCGCACTGAACCGTAGTAAAAGAATTTGAATGAAAATTTATGCGTTTCAATTATAAGGCCTGCATTTCAATTTTGGTGACTTCGATAAATATTTTTTGAGGGGAGACTATGAATTTTTCCCTTGATTACGATAACTTGCCTTCTTTTATATGTAAAGTAGCCACATTTGACTTCTTCTCTCCTGCGCTGTTCTTTGCAAAGCATTGATATGTGCCTGCATCCTCCTCCGTCGCCTCTTTTATCAGCAGCACGCTGTGGAATTTTGTGTCATTTAAAAATAAAACGATTTCCAACCTTGGATTGGTTTTCGTAACATTTGGATCATTGTTCTTGATCCATATTATGTTTGGCCTGGGAAGACCAGTGGCGGTGCAACTGAAAAAATGGTTGGAACCAATCGAATAGGTTTGGCTTTTTGGATCTTCAACTATCTCCGGCATTTCTGTAATTATAAAAGAAAAATGTACAAACATTATTGCAAAGGTAAGAAGAAATGAATATTATGTTGATAGGTGATTTGCGAAGGTAATTAAAGGAAGAGGGTTAAATGTCATACTGCTCCTTTTGAATTTACTCAAGTTTTGTTACAGCAACCTGAGAAGTAATCGTAATTCTTGTTTCTAAGAGACTTCAGAAGCAATAAGCGCTTAAGAATGAGCCAAATTTAGTTGCTTTATTTGAGAAATAATGCCCTTCTCATAGAGATTAATTTTTTGAATAGTTCTTTTCTGTTTTCTTTTTTTCTTAGTACCTACACACATAACTGAAATTAGGCCTAAAACAAGTCTCAACATTCATGAAGTATATCAATCTGACCAAAGTTCCTTTGAATTAAGAAAACCACTCCTGATTCTTTTCCACCAGCGCTGTTTTTGGCAATGCACTGATATTTTCCATAATCGTCCTTCTGTACTCCTGTTATTAAGAGCTGGCTTCGAATGTTGTTGTCGTCCTGAATGACACTTGCTCTGGGGTTGGACTGTATAGGATATGAAGTATTGTCCTTTATCCAATGGATGCTTGGCCTCGGAAAACCCTTAGCAGTGCAGTTGAAAATAGCATTGGAACTGATCGAGACACTTTGGTTCTTTGGACCCTCAACAATCTCAGGTATTTGGGCACCTGCAAATTAATCGAAATATTTGGTTGGACACAAGTGGCGCTATGAGGTAAAGATAAGGATGAAATAGTCTAAGTGTTCAACTTAAAAATTAAAAGGAAAACAAACCCCGATGCATATGCATGTCTCACCTGGACCTTTCGAGGTTAAGAAAGCTGGCAATGACAAATTTTGACCACCACTGTTTTTTGCCTCACATTGATATTCGCCAAAATCTTCTTTCTTCACCCCTGTGATAAACAACTGGCTTTGCATGGTTTTGCCGTCCAGTGGATTGTTATTGAATGTCACCCTTGGGTTGGATTGTAAAGCAAATGAATCATTGTTTTTGATCCATGAGATGCTTGGCGCAGGAAGACCTGTGGCAGTGCAGCTGAAAGTTACATTGGCCCCTACATCGGCGCTTTGGTTCTGGGGAACTCCTAGTAACTCTGGCCCATGGCCTGTAGGGAAAAGGTACATTGCAGTAAATATCTCCTGTTATTACTGGTATGAAGCTAATTAAATTGTATTAAGAAAATGTCGGTAGAAGAAGAAGACATTTTCATTATCACACTTTTGTGTCACACAAGAAGATGAATTACATTCAGAGGGTATTCAGAAGGAACTATTTCAAGTCAACCCTCCCTTGACGGAGTGTGAGCCCCTTATTTTTCGTTCTTATAGTTATCATTCGTTTATTTTGTTTCACAAAATAATTCTTCACTCATCTTGCGAAGAATATGTATGGTTTTTTTTTTGCTACTGAATCTCATCGTTTTGCTAAGAATCAGTTCTTTATACAATCGAACCTGTACTCAGCGGCACCGTATTCAGCGATCACCCTGTATTGAGCAGTCGATTGCATTAGTGTTTGTCAGTTGTCTAAGTCCCGAATTTGTCTCCCCTTAATCACTGTAATTTGCACCTCTATTAAGCGGTTGCCTCAACTTAGCGGTCGCAGTCGACCTTTACTAAGTCCCAACGGCCTCTCGGTATTGCCCTCCACCTGTTTTGAACGGCCACTTACAGCCCAAAACCACTCGAATAAAAAAAAAAAAATAAGAACAATCCTTCAGACATCTTTTTATGCATCCCTCTGTCCCAATCGTTGCAGTAAAAAGTATTTTTTGGCGAGATTATGTGCATAAAGTGGTCAGTTATAAAAGTGGCGTTAGTGACGTTGTGTATGTGCTGTTTTGGTTTATGTTTGTTTGTTTTGTTTTTTTATTATACCTCTTATCTGTGGAACCTGTACTAAGAGGTCAACTATTCCCAGTGAGTGGCCGTTTAATACAGGTTCGACTGTTCCAAGTAACATAAAATGCATTAGGACAGGTCAATCGCATAGCATCTCGGCATCCATCCTCACATTAAAGAACATATGATATCTATTTAAATTTATTTAAGACTGGATCATTGGATAATCGTCTTATGAGAAACGAGCAGAAAGACTTGAAAAAAAATGAATTGGATGATAAATAACCTATAATACGTTTTGATATGTAGTATCGCTGAGCATTTTTACTCGTAGTTTGTATTTTGACTCACCTTACAGGCTCGTCAAAATACGTCACAACTAGTAAAAATACTCAGCGATACTACACACCAAAACATATAATAGAATATAAATATTCTGGGGCGTTTTCAATAAAGCAATTATTCCCCTCGCGCTTGTTGGATATGAGATGATTATAACCAACTCAGTCCAGCGGGCCTCGTTGGCCATCTATCATCTCATATCCAACGCGCGCTCATAGAATTGTTTATTAGGGGTATGATAAGCCTGGTTTGCTTACCTTGAATCACTATTTCAAATGATTTCCTTGTGCAGTGTTTTATGTAACCATTGCCAGATTGGCAGGTGTAGCGGCCAAATTTTTCAGCTGTCAGATTTTTAAGCACTAATGGGCAGCTTAATTTACGTTTGTATTCACGCATGTTTGAAGGCTGTTGACACTTAGCTCCAACTTTGTTATCCTGTGGATCATACCACTCAATATAATTGACCCATCTGTCCAGATATCCTGCATCTATCGTTCTGGGCTCCGCTGTACAAGTCAGGGTAATGGAGGCACCAATGGGTAATCTGCTGTTTTCTGGACTTGCAGAGATGTCGACAACGGGTCTGACTGTGCAAGAGAGAATACTCGTAGATTAAAAACAAAAAAAGAAAATTCCATCTATAGCTTATCTAACGATGGGTAAAAGATTAAAAAAAAGAATAAAGTTTAAAAAAGATAGAAATGCTTTTCATATCAGGATGTTTCACTACTTACTTTTTAAGTTGGGATTACACGTTTCGCTCCTGACAAATGGAAGACTCCATAAAACGCCCGTAAGGGTCAAAAGTAATAGGCACTTTGCCACTTTTCTAAACCAGGAGTCGCGCATCATCATGAAATGTTAAAAACTCTGTGTTCTGATGTTTCCTGCAGCCTGCAAATGGGATGACCCATCGAAAAAAAAAAGATGAAAATCGGAGTGGAAAAAGATTTATTTGAGTGGGTAGGAGCTGACACTCTAGGCAAATTCTTCTCTAAATTTATTTTAAGGTGTTTCGAAAGGAATTTGAAAAACTACTTAGAATAACAACTTTCAATTATTCTGTTTTTACTCTGTTACACAGAGATATCTATCATTAGCCTGCAGAGCAGGCGTAATTTTGGCGGGCGAGTGCTCTGTATTATCTTGGTGAAAATCATAGCAGCCATCCGGTTATGATTTTTAAAGCAGTGTTGTCCTGGAAAGAGAAACAAATTTGTACCAAGGGTGTGAGCGACGGTCAAAAGGAAGGAGAGGGGAAGGGGTAGGCTGGGGCAACGAACGCACCCTCCCCCTGCCGTTCACTCCAACTCTAAATGAAATATGGTCCGTCGAATAAACGATTGTGGGTTTCTTAACGTTAACTCGCACTAATAAGACGTCTGCATTGCAGGCTGATCTATCAGTAGCATCCAAACTCTCAAGCAAGCAGAAAGCGAAGGAGTGAAACGAAATCTTTTTGGAAAGATGTTACCCCTAAGAACTAAGTGTTATTAACACCTTGAGTAAGCTGTTTTGATTTGTTATGGCTTAATATTTCTCAAGGTTTCATGCTTGTCAAAATTCCAAAGTTTTTTAGGTATAGACCTTAACTAGGAGGGTCCTGATTTTGGAAATTTGGACAATGTTGTCAATTTTCGTGGCGAAATTATTCTATCTGATAACGTGAACAAGATGAAGTGAGATGTGAACTCCTAGGGAGGGACCATGCAGTAGGATGAAACCTCTAGATACTTAGGAGCGTATTTCTGAGAATATCGAGAATCGAGAGATTTTAAGCTGTTTTTATTCTTTTGCGAGAATCGATGAACCTCACAAAAAATCTTTTTTTTTTAATTTTGCCATAACATTTCCTTAGATGAATGTAAATACGGGAAAAAATTTAAAGGTCACATTGTTGTATTTCACGGGAGAAATTTTCAAAAGTTTGAAAATTTGGTTTTTACCTAATTACATATGCACATTTTTGTTTTTCTTTCGGCGATCACTGAAAGCGTAAAAACTATTCAAAGAAAACAAGACTTTGCCCGAGTAAAATGCTGTCCTTTTACTTAAAAGGGATGTTGTAATCGTTCGAAAATTTTCTCTCTTTCTTTCCTCAAATTCCGTCAGCTCCTAATCTGTTCGCAAGACCGGCCAGCATAGTTTGCCAAAGGATTTTAGAATCCCCGAGTTTTGCAACAAAGCACAATGTTTGCCTCTCTAGTACACTGATTTCAATTCAATTACACGCTTGTCGTAGCTTTTACGACAAATGTTCGACAACTTGATCACAGTTTTCTTGATTTGTTCGATTTTGTCAAGTTTTTACTCAGGACAAATTTTGTCGGCGGTGTGTTAGAAGATTTGTCCGCTTCAGCCAAACTTTGACAAGTCGCGACAAACTATTTGCACTTGTAAAATGGCGATGATGAAAATTTTTCTAAATAAACAACTTTTCGCTGAAACAGAAAGGCCCTAACCCACTATTTCTCTTACAAAATTATGTCTCTCGCTGTTTATCTTCTATACCAGATAGCGGCTGGATCTGTAACTTCCCTTGTTTACGCGGCCAGTAACCTTATACTAAATTAGTTTACAGTTAAATGAACTGTAAATGCAATAAAGCGATGGTGATGTATTTTTTACCGCTCGAAATAATAGCCCACATCAGTTTTACAAATTCATTTTGGTTCGGTAACACCCTTTATACAGACTTCCTCTCTCTCTGTATATTCCGATTTTGAAATATGTAATAGGGCGCTTTCGGCTATTTTCGAAAACTCGATAACCAATATCTTTATTAATATTTTGAAAAAAAAGGCCTCTGGCAATCGGATTTGTTTTTTGATCGTCTATCTGCAAAGACAATATGCACTGTTTGTGTTTCCTTTCTGACGAATATACGAAAGTGTATGGGGGATATGCAAACGCCATCCGAGGCACAAACAAAAAGTTAAACTCGTAAGAAGTCAAGAGTTTAAAAAAGAGCAAACTGAAATCATACCTTGGTGACAGCTATAAAAAGATGACAAAGCAGCCAAAAAAATTCCTAGTGGAAGCTATCGCAGGCGGGCAGACTGGTTATCTTACTGAAGGTAACTACACGTTTGTTACGAATCGTTTTTAAATCTCACAGCTACGTGATCAATTTTATCTGGGCGTTTTTTTAAATTTCTTTTTTTTTAATCTTTTAATATTCTTATCTAAGTGGTAGTTTATATTGGAGCGGGCGTAAAAGAGTTTTAAATTTAAGACTTCCTCCGTTTGAAAACTCTGGAGTAGAGACCTTTTTCTTCTCCTTAGGGACACCGATTACTTTTTAGCCAACGCACAAGGTTTATAAAAGGTGTTAAGGGATATCAATATTATCAATGCTGGGGCATGAACATGGTCAAAGTCATTTTCTGCATGTTTAATTGAACAAGGCACTCAAGGCCAAGACTCAAATAGTTAAATTTTGCAATTTTAATTAAAATACACGTGACTCATGTTGTGAAATTCTAACCACTTCCTGCTTTTAAGTCTTGGCTAAATATTTGGATGAGATTTTCAAAACTAAAGGAGAACCGGTTTTGAAAAATTATTTTTAGCATAATTTTAGGTTTCAATATATGAAACGTCTTATTGCATGAAGAGGAAATAGATCACTGTTGAATTCATAATAATCATGTAACATTTTTTTTTTTTTTGCATTTTAAGACGGATATGGTTTTACGTGGCTGATCAAATTTTGCAAAATATAATTCAAAGTGCTTTTTAGAGTGAATTTCTTCAACTATGATTAGCAGAAAGGTTTGGAAGACATTTGTAAGTCTCCGACGTAACATAAAATTAAATAAAGAATTATATTAGACTGTTCACTACTTTAAGGTATGCTGAAAATTGATGGGTGTATTTATGACGATGAGATCATAATTTCTCGTAGGAGAACGGCAGCAACATTTTATTGGTAATAACTTCCTTCGTGGTCCTATTTAATTGAAAAAAAAATGATTTAGCGGAGTTAGACTGCCCGAATTAACCTTTATTCGATTGAGTGACCTTTACGATCGTCAGGGATTATTTTCAACCCTCCTTTTTCCTTATCCGCTCTACTTCGGTGTTATTCTCTAGACAGATTCTATTCTTTTCGAATCAAAATTTTTCTTCCATCATTTAATTTTTTTTCCAAATCAATTTCAGGACTAGATCGCCCAAAGTTTATTCAAATCAAGTGATTTGTTATGGACTGTCGCCATTTAAACGCTGCCACGTTCAACTTTTAATGTTGGTTAATGCGAAGAAGTTCAAATTTTTGTTCATCTTTTTCGTGTGTATCTTTAATTTCCGGTGATATAAAGCATGGCAAAATATCTCGGCGCTTCCATCTGTAACAATCGATGGAACCAGGAGATTCGTATTCAGAATCTACTCCATTAAATGAGCTAACATTAATAAGATAAAATTTTAGTAGAACGAAATTTTGCCTTAAGGCTTAATAAGATTTATTAAGCAGCCAAATTTCTGGAGTAAGCGGCCACTGGAGTAATCGCTAATTCGTTTCGAGCGCCTTTAATCTCAAAACGTCAATCAGAAAAGTTGAAAAACCTCTTGTTTGATAAATAATGATTTCTAATCTATAGTGCGTGCGTTAATTTGACCGGAGGTAGAACCTTGGGTAGGTATAATTTTGCCATCCCCTCTTCTATCCACAAAGTTTACCTCACCATGATTAATAACAAACAGCAAACTAATGAAATCTTACTTTGTGATGACGTGCTCAAAGAGTACAGGAGCAGAACGGTTGCTGAATGCTGGCGGATTGGCGAGCGAGCGTTCTCGCTAATTTAAAGTGACTTCCCTTCACACATGGCACTTTTATAACACACCGCTACGTAATTTAAGACTTCCTTCTTGCCCCCGAATTTCTCAAAGCATAAATCGTCCTTGGCACGCAAGTGTTGCGTATTTTGATTTGCATTCAATGAATTCGTTGGAAAATAAATAATTTCGGAACGTAGGACGCCGCAGAATTTTATTTATTAAGATATCTACCCTGTCATGAAGTTTAATCTCATGTTCTTACGGATACATTGATGTAATAAAATTCAATTACGTAAACGTGCGTCTTTCCTTTCTAATTTTGCCGTAGGCTTGCTATGCCCCTGACGACACTCTTTTGTTTTACCTGTGTCCGACAAACGCACGCACGGTAACTATGAATCTATTTTCACGATTATTCGAAATGTGCCTTGAGAAAAATATTTTTCCATTTTTGCTTGCAAAGTTCTAGTTCAGTTTGGCCGCGAGTTTTGTAATTTTCAAGATGGTTTTCCGTTCCTTCCCGGCTGTTAAAAGCTCAAAATGAAAATTGAATACGGTAAACGATACTCGATTTGAAAAGAGGGACAGACATTCATGCCTTAAAAGTAAAAATTATTATCTCGATCTTATCATACTTCAATTCATAAAATCGATACGAATCAGACTGGCACTAGAAACTTCGAATGAGGCTTCGCCACTTTCGGGCTATTCTTTGGAACGGTAAATGTCATTTTTGAAAATCGGTTTGTCCTTAAAGTATTGCTCAACAGGAGGTTCTGGTTAAACACAGTAAACTTCAAAATTTTGGCCGTAAATTTTACTAAACAACAATTAAAGCGGATGATAGTGACTCGCTTGCGTGGGTTTGCTTCACACAAATAATTATGACGTTTCTCACTTATAGATAGAAAAAATTTAGTTTAAAGCTCTTATCTCGAAATATTTCAGTCTTTGTAATTTTATACCTTGCTTTTTGATAGAGTTTCTGATTACCATGTTTTTATCTGGTAAAACCGAATATATTCATATTGACTTAGGTCTGATCCTCAAGGATATTTTTTCTGTTCCTTCATAGATTAGTTGCTATGCAAATATTTTGACAAATATTTCTCAAAAATCTGAGTTATGAAAAATCATCATCCAAACAACTGTGTTTAAGACGTTATGAAACAATAGCTGAGCACTCATCGAAATACATTTACTAGGAAAGTTTAAGAAGTTAGACAGAAGCTCTTGGCTGAGTCTCGAGCAACTCTTTCGCATCTTTCGTGCTCTCCAATCTATCTGCGTGCTTTATAAATCGATGGCCAAAAAGCGAAAAACAATGATCAAATCTCGTTATCATTTTTTTTTTAAATTACCGTTGTGAAATTATACGTAATGAGATAACTACGCAATTAAGAAGCAACTATCCCTAACATAATTCTGCTTATTATTCCAAATAAAAGGGGTAAATTTCTAAAGAAACTGTGGTGCTGAGAAGGTGGGAGAGTATAAAAAGATAATTTGGTTTTAATAATTGAGTTTTTCATGTAAATTGGCCCCCATGGTGTCTGAGCTGCTGGTGATGTTTGTCATGACAACATACTTACTTCAGCTCGTAACGCACTCGACAGCTATAAAGGGGAAAAACGAAGATTTATGTCTGCGTGCTAATCACTTACTGGGTGTTTGTCTGTCTTCCAAATTTAGGAAATCTGAGAATCAACAAATTTTAAAGTAGCCTTTTTTTTGTACGCCCTGTTTAACGCTTCAGGAAGGAAGAAGGTTCATTTTAATATTTAGGATATTCTGACAATGTACGTCCGGCCGTTTCACGCATTAAGAACGTGGAAGGTTCATGTTGTCATTTTCTCTTTTCATGCTACTCATTTTCATATCATTGCTCACGCCCCTCGACTTCCGGTATGTTAACGCACGATTCGTCTTTTGTTATACCATGCTACTCATTTTCACACATTGCTTACCACCCTCCACTTCCGGTGTGTTAACAGTGTGTCGATTCGTCAAAGACCGAATTGTAACGGTTTGAGCGTATTGGACATGTATGACCGATCACAGCATGCACTGAAACCTGAACAGCAAAACGAAACAACCGAAACCACCAAAACGAAACAACCGAAACCACCAAAACGAAACAAGCGAAACCACCAAAACGACCAAAGCGAGACGATCGCAATGAAACGAACTTAACGACCAAAACGAAACGACCGAATGAGCATCATTGAAGTCGATAGACTTTTCAGTTGGATTTCTCTGTTTTCTTAATGTAGGTGATACAATAATATTCAAGAGAATTCTTTTTTCACGTACATAAGTATGCATAGTTTACAAAATAAAAAGGGTGTCATTCTGAAGCAACAGAGGTTGTGATTGATTTGGATATACTCAATTTGAGTCGAGTTTTATAAAATAAACGAGTGCCACAACGGGCATTTATGATAAGCACCCGTCGCACTCATTGACATTATTCACTTATATTCTATATAAAGCAAAGGTCAACTAAAAATAAATCACAAAAAGAGAACTGATTCGACGTACTTAAAAACGTAACAGGATAAAATGAATTTACTTACCAATATTTGCGGCTTAAGTTCTCAGGATAATATCCAAATATGTACTCAACTAATTGTTACTCATCAAGTTTTATATACTATCATGACGTCACGATAACAAAGTTCGAGAGTGGAAGAAAGTTCCAGTCTATACTTCATTGAACGACGAGGTTCTCCGGAAATATGCACCTACATGAAACCTACTTTAAGAAAGGGGATGGTACAATAATTCCAATTCATAACAAGTTGTGAAGACAATCAATGACAATCATTTCACTCCACTCACAGCGCGAGCGTATTCATAGATCACTTGCTTGTCATCATTATTCTTATTTTTATTTCTGACGCATGGAAATGCAAATTAATGCACCATACAAAGTTCTGTGATGATAAACCACAAAAAAAGAAGAAAATTGTGTTGAGATTAGACCTCATGATCGTTAAAGACTGAACGGTCTGTCAACCTAATTCTTTTTATAGATTTTAAATAATATTTTTAGGTTTTTTCTCAAAGAAGGTGACGCAGAATCATCGAAGGAAAATTAGCATTAAAGTGATTTCACATGATTCACTCCTCTCTATTCTTTCAATATCGAATTTATTACTAAATCAATGCATCTTAATCAATTGATGTTATTACCCTATCAAATGTCAGGACTAGTTATCATTCTGTGTAACTCTGGTGAATCTCGTCGGCTCTCACACTTTGATTCTCACAGAATACTTCTCACAGACTTTTCATGTACTGCTAAACACTAACTTCAACTACGGAATTCTGTCTCTACACTTCTGCACACTTTCTACATTCTGCTAGTTTCGATTTCTCTCTTCTGAGTAAGCTTTAAAGGACATGCTTATATATTCACTTTTGGTGGCTATAAAATAGTTTAGATATAATGCGCGCTGTCATCGGTTGAAAGAGCGTGCTCTGTCAGACAACAAACCACCTTTCTTTCGTAAATTGAAAGAGAAATTTCGGAACAAGCGAGCCGGCGAGCAGGAACCGAAGAACCAAGCAAAGATTTATCAACATGCAAAACGCCGTAATTGACGTTATTATAACGTGAGCACTGAAAATCAATCCTCAAAGAAAACGAGATGGACTGTCCAAGTTTTAAAGGTTTTCACGCTCAGTTGGATTGCAAGCTTTCTTGCGGCAATCAAAATCAAACACAACTAACATTCGCACAGTATGTATGGTTTCGTGTTCAAAAACCAAACACAACAAAACAGGAATGATGAAAATTATAACCAAAATGGCATGACAGTTAAAATTAATACAAATCATGAAGGTGTTAGAGCGACTGCAATCATGCTAAGGTCCATCGCGGCTAGGTCATCATGGCGAACTCCGGTCATCGCAGAGAATGAAGCCTCAGAAGTTATATCGGGCGCTTCCAGTGAGCAACTAAGAGCTTGCTCTGATATCCTTTCCCATACGTTGAGTGGAAGGCCACATCAGTCACAGCAGCCGAATTTTAAGGCCTTGTCATCCAGAGCAATCTTCATTTTCCTGTGTATTCGGCTGTCGTTCCTTCATAAAACGCAAGCCTTGAGCAGTTTGTTTTCTAATTGTCATGTAAAAAACTTGCGTGTTTTTATGAGCCACAATTTAGCCGGAGTTCACAAAAACAGGAAACATTTGGAAATTCAAACTAATGCACTCTACATGGTTCTGTGAGGGTAAACCACTAAAAAAGAAGAAAATTGTGTATTTGTTGTATTGTTTATTTTTAGACCTCGTGATTGTTAAAAACTGAACGATTTACGTTTATTCATGGATGCTGTCTGTCAGCTTAATTCTTTTTATAGATTTCAAATGATATTTTTAACATTTTTGACAGCTTTTAAGCTGTCAAAAATGTTAAAAATATCAGGCTTAAAAAGAGTTAAAAGAATAAAGAATAAAGACTTAAAAGTCTTGTTCAACCAATCAGATTATTTGAGCCATTGTAACAAGTTTTCTGATTAGCTCATTGTAGCGTGCTTTAAGAGAGTCGGTATAGAGCATGCTGACGACAATGTTTTTCGCTTTGGAACTAGGGTTTGTTTGAAAGTAATGCGTTGGGAGTTTAACGGATTTTTTTAGTATAAAACAAAAAGAGAAGCCTTGAGTGTGCTCTGTTCTGTTGTAAAGCACTTGGGAAGTGGTTAGAGCACTCAAAAAGTGGACAGTAACTAAATGTTTCACAACATTATTATCAACATTCTCTGTCATTTCAAATTTTTCTGAGAAATAACTTCGAGTCATGATAGCAAACATCATGTGCAAAATAGCTAGTTATAGAATGATAAATAAAGGGATAAGTTTCTAAAGAAACTGTGGTGCTGCGATGGTGGGGGTTTATAACAAGATAATTTAGTTTTATCAACTAACCTGATAATGTGAATTGGCCACCGTAAAGAGCTAGTTCAGGAACTACTGAACGTAAGTATGGAGAATCCGTCGACAGTTGCAACATTTAATAATTCTTGTTATTTTTCCTAAAGGACCTCAGTATTTAGAGAGTTTATCAACTATTCTACATTATTTTGGGTCACCC